GAGGTTGTAGAGAAAGTGGAACCATCCTCCACTCCTGGTGGGAATGTAAACTTGTACAACCACTCTGGAAATCAATCTGTTGCTTTCTCAGACAACTAGGAATAGTGCTTCCTCAAGATCCAGCTATACCACTCCTAGGCATATATCCAAAAGAGGCTCATGTACAGTATGACATTTGCTCAACCATGTTTGTAGTAGCTTTGTTTGTAATAGCCAGAAGCTAGAAACAACCCAGATGCTCCTCAGCTGAAGAATGGATACAGAAATTGTGGTACATCTACACAGTGGAATATTACTCAGCAATGAAAAATAAGGAAATCATGAAATTTGCAGGCAAATGGTGAGAACTGGAAAGGATCATCTGAGTGAGCTATCCCAGAAGCAGAAAGACACACACGATATATACTCACTCATATAGACATATAATATAGGATAAACCTACTATAATCTGTAAACCTAAATAAAATAATCAAGAGGGAGGACCCTGGCTAAAATACTCAATCCCCATCCTGAAAGGCAAAGAGGATGGACATCAGAAGAAGAAGAAAATAGGAAACAAGTTAGGAGCCTGCTACAAGGACAGAGCTCCACAAGGAGAGCAACAGAACAAAAAAAAATGAGCACAGGGGTCTTTCCAGAGACTCCTACTCCAACCAAGTACCGTGCATGGAGATAACCTAGTATCCCTGCACATATTTAGTCCATGGCAGTTCAGTGTCCAAGTGGGTTCCATAGTAATGGGAACAGGGACTGCCTCTGACACGAACTGATTGGCCTGCTCTTTGATCACCTCTCCTGAGACTGGAGGAGCCTTCCCAGGCCACAGAAGATGACAATGCAACCCCTCCTGATGAGACCTGATAGACTAGGATGAGAAGAAAGGAGAGGAACACCTCCCCTATCAGCGGACTTGGGGAGGGGCATGTGTGGAGGCGAAGGTGGGATTAGGAGGGGAGGTGGGAGGGGTTTATGAGGGGATACACAGTGAATAAAGTGTAATTAAGAAAAAGTAAAAAAAGATTCTAAGATAATTATAAAATAATTTAGATAATGAAAATAAAGGTGAACGTATGGCAAAGACTGTTCAGAGAATATATGTACACAGTAACACATTAGCACAAGCAAAAATGTGCTACATCTAGCATCAAAGAAATAGATATTTAAACCGCAGGATGTGTCACATTGAGATAGTTCATGACATAATTATGTTTGTTGCCAAGCCTGAAGACCTTAGTTCAATCTCCAGGACCCACATGGTGGAAGGAAAAAACTGACCCCTACAAGTAGTTCTCTAGCCTTCAGACACACACAACACGCTATAAATAAATAAACGCAAACTAAAAAGGGAAAATTTTAGGAGGTACCATTTCTCCTCTATACAATTACTTAAACAAAACTAACAATACTAAATGCTACTAAGATATTTGCACACTCACAATACACAAACACACAAACCAATGTCCACTGTTCCCTTAATAAGTTTCTAGAGGTAAACAGTAGAAAGAAGAGAAGCTAAAATATGTATTTTAAACTTGGAGGTAAGAAAAGCCCACAAGATCATGACAACAAATATGAGAATAAAGGACATATCTAGTACTGGTTTCTACTTAGCAACCTCATATAATGGGCATCCATTCAGATCTGGTGAGTCACAATACCCTGGTTATGAAAAACAATGGGTTTTTATTTTTATTTTATTTAAGTGTATCTGACCCTAAGCCTGCCAATTCCATCTGCTGCCACAGAATTTTATGTAAACAATCTGTTCTCATAACAAAACAGAGAAGCTCAAATATCAGAAGCATGTGTTATTTTAATGGCCATTTAAAAATACTCATTCTCAGGATAGTCTACTTATGCAATAGTATCTGCAAACAAATATCAAGGAGTAAACTAATTAAAGATATATTACTCTTATAGATGAACTGAATTACACTACAATATATTGTGTAAATTTATTCATAAAAAGGGCAATCAACAAATAATAATTCAAAATATTTACAAAATTAAATTACACAGAATTATATATATATATATATATATATATGACTTATGTTATTCTATAATCAATTTCTAGTATCCATACAGAGTTGCAACATAAACTTAAACAGATGTAAATTTTTTTCATTGTTGATAGTGTTCATGATTTTGAGTAAAAATATGTTGCATATATACTTTCTTAAGAACTTTATGTAATTAAAACTGAATTTTTTAATGTGTTTCTAATTAACTGTGAGCCTTAATGTCTGAGTTAGGGTTTCTATTGTTTTATAACACACAGTGACTAAAAGCAACTTGGGAAGAAAATGGTTTGTTTCAGCTTATGAGTCCATATCAAAGCCTATCACTTAGGGCAGTCAGGGTAGGAACCTAGAAATAGGAACTGATACAGGGTCTATGGTAGAGTACTATTTACTAGTTTTCTTTCACTGGCTTTCTCTGTTTGCTTTGTTATCTACCCCAGGAACCCTGTCCAGGGGTGGCACCACCTGCAGTGACCTAGGCCCTCCAACATCAACTGTCAACCAAGAAAATGCACTATAGGCTTGCCCACACACCGGGTTGATGGGGACATTTTCTCAACTTAGGTCTCCTCTTCCAAAATAAAATTAGCTTGTGTCAACCTGATACAAAACCAGCAGGTACACTTAAGTAAAATAATTTTATAAATATGTCCATTGAAGAGAAAAATAAATTTAAATGAAGATTTACTTAAAAATATACAAACCAATTAAACAATATGGGGAAGATGGTTCAGTTGGTAAAGTCTTTGTTGTATATGCATATCCACCTAAGTTTGGAGCCCCAGCACCCACATAAAAAGCAGATGTGGAGTAAATATCTGTAATCCCATCAATAAGGAATTGCAGAGAAGAGGTCCACTTTAGCTTGGTGGCCAGCAATTCTAGCTAAATAGGTGGACTCCAGGTTTAATAAGCAATCTCCTCTTTTTTAAAAAATATTTTATACTTCTTTATTTTATGTGTATGAATGTGTAGCCTGAATGTACGTACGTGTACCACCCATGAATCTGGTATCCATGGAAGTCAGAGTGTGTTAGATACCCTAAAACTTGAGTTAAAAATAAATATTTTTGAGCCACCATGTTGGTGATGATCATTTAACTGTGTTCTTCCTTAAGAACAACAAGTATTTTAAGCTGCTGAGTATACGTCTCTCTAGTCCCCATGAGTGATATCTCTTAAATAAAATTAAGGATGTTTTAAAAAGTCACAAATAAATATTATTTTATTAGCTTAATTAAAAATACATATGTGTATAGATATGTATAAATATGCAAATAAATATGCATATACATTTCACTCAAATGTATATGAGTGAAAAATATATCTCACACACATTTGGAGAGAGCTAAAGAAAATGAGACTGAGAAGTGGGAGGAGGGAGAAAGTTTAAATGGAGTCAATATAACAGAATCCTTAATACCAGGTAAGGGAAAACCCTTGTCAAGTAGTTGGTCAGTGGATGACCAAGAAACTCCCCAAATAACTTAAGTGATTGTCATTGCCTTTGTTTCCCTACCAGAAATTGAAGATAATACTATTGCTTAAGACACCACACACTTCAGAAAAAGAACCTGTCAGAATAAAGCTGAAAATCTCCTCCCTGAGAACTAGTTGTCTAAGTCGTGAAAGGTACTATGAAAGATGATAAGGGAGAAAAGCAATCAATAGTTCTGCTAAGCACAATGACTGGCCCAGTATGATATCTCCAATGATTCAAAAGTGGCACTTTTTTCACAAGGGTAACCAATGGCTGTCTAATTAGACTTAAGTTATATTCAATGAGAGGAAAATCCTGCATGGTATTGTAAATCTAGCCAAGTACTTATGGCCAGAGAGGTAATAGAACCTAGAGGTGAACCTACAAGTGCTATCTTTCTAAACCAATATGTTTAACTATAATTTAAATACTTAGCCTTATACTCATCAATGAATGTAACCCTCACTCCTCATCAAAGGTTTTTTTGTTGTTGTTGTTTTTTGTTTTTCACCAGGTATAGGCAACTACAATAAGACACAATTGGCCAAAATACAGTGAATAAGTGAACATTGTGTGGCCACACTCCCAATTGGTACATATACTATGCCATCACAATACCTAAGCCTCAGGGAATATTGTAAATGAGGGGTAGAAAGATTGTATGCATCATAGAAAAAGTATGGCTGTTGAATAGTGTCTTCTAGACATGACAGACATATTGCATCCATTATATCTAAACAATATGGCTCCCTAAACAAGATCTGCATAATGAAAACACTAGCTAACATATTAATGTGGATGAGGGAATAATTATTAATTTAACTTAGTAAATCATTTTTTGCACTTTCTGGGTACAAATAATTATTTTATCTACATTGTTTTGTTTTGCTTTTGATCTATAAATCTTATATTATACTTGTCAAGAAAAAGTTCTCTCCATATTTAAGAAATTTGAAGAAAAGACATACTACAGCTTGTCTTAAAATTAGCCAGTGATATTACTTCCTTATGGACACATTCCAATAAAGGGTTTATCTTTTATATTGATTGTTTTACTTTCAACAGTTTAAAACTAAAACTGGGCATCACAGGAAAACATAAACTAAATATCATAGAAACAATGTCTTTTCTTGTTCACAACATAGTTTGGAGAATTTCAGATAATGACTACATTAGGCACCTTCAAATATAATTTCACAGCACAACAAACCATGAATATAAATGACTTTATGGTGAGTTTAAACCTATCATTCCTTGACAACATACCATACTTCAAATTTGATAATAAGTACAGCAAAGACAACATAATCATAGTTTCAGATGAATTAGATATACCTAGTAATTATATTACTTAATTAAAGCTTATAGCTAGGCATATTCACTCAATGGAATAAGACCAAGTCAACAAAGAACTGAGATGTCTTTTAGATTATTACATAGTAAATCTGTAATTCCAATACACTTTTATAATGTTAGTAAAAGAAAACTGAACTTACTTCTACAGGAGAAAATGTTATGCCACATTCCACAGACGTGCTTTCTTCTATTTCTATTGCATACATATGAGGAACTTCTGGATTTTTGCACTGTCCTATAAAAAAAGAACCATATATAAACCTATCCATATATATAGCAGTATTATTTAATGTGAACCCTGTAGATGTGATTACAATGCCCATAGCAATCAAATACAACTATTGAAATAACTAAGGGTAAAGGTATATTAAATTTTTAATTGAACAATGATTCTTTTTATTTTAAATTTTAATTAAATTTTTATTTTTTTAATATTAATTACAGTTTATTCACTTTGTATCCCAGCTGTAGCCCACTCCCTCATTCCCTCCCAATCCTACCCTCCCTCCCTCATCTCCTCCCTGCCCCTTTCCAAGTCCACTGATAAGGGAGGTCCTCCTCCCCTTCCATCTGGCTCTAGCTTATCAGGTTTTTCAGGACTGGCTGCAATATCCTCCTCTGTGACCTAGCAAGGCTGCTCCTCCTTCAGGCGGGGGTGAGGAGAGGTCAAAGAGCCAGCCATTGAGTTCATGTCAGAAATAGTCCCTGTTCCCCTTACTAGGGTACCTACTTGGATACTATGCTACCATGGGCTACATCTGAGCAGAGGTTCTAGGTTATATCCATACATGGTCCTTGGTTGGAGATACAGTCTCAAAAAAGACCCCTGTGCCCAGGCATATTTGGTCCTTGTGGAGTTCCTGTCTTCTCCAGGTCATACTAACTCCCCTTCTTTCATAAGATTCCCCACACTCTGAAGTAGGTTTGGTTATGAGTCTCAGCATCCGCTTTGATACACTGCTAGGTAGAGTCTTTCAGAGGCCCTCTGTGGTAGGTTCCTGTCCTGTCACTTGTTTTTCCTACTTCCAATGTCCATCCCATTTGTCTTTCTAAGTAAGGATTAATCATCTTACCCTGGGTCTTCTTTCTTTTTTTAATTTTTTTTATTTAAATTTTTATTAATTACACTTTATTTACTTTGTATACCCCCCATACACCTCTCCCTCCTCCCCTCCTAATCCCAACTTCCCTCCCCCTTCTCCACGCATGCACCCTCCCCAAGTCCACTGATAGGGGAGGTCCTCCTTTCCTTCCTTCTGTTCCTAGTCTATCAGATCCCATCAGGAGTGGCTGCATTGTATCTTCTGTGGCCTGGTAAGACTCCTCCCTGCTCAGGGGGAGGTGATCAAAGAGCAGGCCAATCAGTTCATGTCAGAGGCAGTCCCTGTTCCCATTACTATGGTACCCACTTGGACACTGAACTGTCATGGGCTACATATGTGCAGGGGTTCTAGGTTATCTCCAGTCATGGTACTTGGTTGGAGTATGAGTCTCTGGAAAGACTCCTGTGTTCAAATTTTTTGGTTCTGTTGCTCTCCTTGTGGAGCTCCTGTCCTCTCCAGATCTTAGTATTTCCCACTTCTTTCATAAGATTCCATGCACTCTGCCAAACAGTTGGCCATAAGTGTCAGCATCTGCCTTGATAGTCTGCAGGGCAGAGCCTTTCAGAGGCCCTCTGTAGCAGGTTCCTAACTTGTTTCCTACCTCTTTCTTGTTTAGCTTCCTTAGGTGTACAGATTTTAGTACGTTTATCCTATAGTATATGTCTAATATCCACTTATAAGTGAGCATATACCGTGTGCGTGTTTCTGCTTCTGGGATACCTCACTCAGGATGATCTTTTCTAGATCCCACCATTTGTATGAAAATTTTTATTTTTATATTAATTACGGTTTATTTTACTTTGTGTCCCAACTATAACCCCTCCTTCATTCCCTACCAATCCCACCCTCCATCCCTCATCTCCTCCCACACACCTTGAAGTCCTTGATAGAGCAATGAGACAACTAAATGAGATCAAAAGGATACAAATCGGAAAGGAAGAAGTCAAAGTATCACTATTCGCAAATGATATGATAGTACATATGAGTTACCCCCAAAACTCTACCAGAGATCTCCTCCAGATAAAAAACACCTATATCAAAGTGGTTGTATACAAAATTAACTCAAAAGAATCAGTAGCCCTCCTTTATACAAAAGAAAAAAAAAGTGCCAAGAAAGAAATTAGGGAAACAACATCCTTCACAATATCCACAAATACCAAAAAGTACCTTGGTGTGACTAATCGAGCAAGTGAAATACCTGAAGAAAGAAATTGAAGAAAATATCAGAAGATGGAAAGATCTCCCATGCTCATAGATCAGTATGATTAACAGTGAAAATGGCCATCCTGCCAAAAGCAATCTACAGAGTCAATGCAATTCCCATCAAATTACCAACACAATTCTTTAAAGAACCTGAAAGAACAATTTTCAATTGCTAAAACTATCCTGTACTGCAACTGATCATCTGGAGGTATCTCTCTCCCTGATCTCACGCTGTACTACAGAGCAGTAGTAATAAAAACTGAATACCAAGTTTTAATACCAAATCTCTTATGCAAATATGCAACATAGAATAAGAAAATAAATCAGAAAAAAAATCCATTTAAATTAAGGTCAAGCAACTGACTTAGTCATAGGTCTCAAATGATCTATATAATGGAAGATGAACAGGAAGACCCAGGAATTATTTAATTGCACAAAAATTCATTAAATCACAAAGAATATTCCAATTACTTCAATTGTAGATCATTTATTTTCAGGAAACACATAACATCACATATCAGAAATATATATATGTACATGTGTACATGTGAAGCATTAGTATTCAGTATGGCCAGCTTACAATAAAATAGGTCTCAAGGAATATTTGTCATTCAGAAACAATACCATAAGAAGGTAAAGTTTCTCAAAAAATTCTTGTCAAAATGAAATTATTTCAAGAATAAAGGTACTAGGTAAAAATACAATAGTCACATAGAAATCAGTTGCAGTGGAACCATTCTTCTTAGTCTAAACAATTTGTAAAAATCTAACTTCCTCATTACAGTTACATGACTCATTCCAATGATAATAATTTTCATTGTTCCTCTCTGGAAATCAAATTCAGTAACTTCCATTCCATCCATCTTCTCACTCAAATTCATTTATCTTTGGTACAATAGGCAAACCATGAAACAAATAATGACTATATATTAATACTAGAGCTTTTGTGGTCTGGAAACACATATCGATATGAAACAGCAAAGAATATCTAACTAGGATAGACACTTTTCTATTAAATAGATAGTTGAGCTAAACCAATATTTAGAAGCAAATATGGTGTTTATATAATGATACATCTTATGAAATAAATAATCCCTGGTGTATTTTTCAATCCATGATCCTGCCTTTATACTAATATTGTACAAAATACTAGAATAGACAACTTCACTGAAACCAAACATATATATAAATGTATATATGTATGTATGTATGTATTGGACATTATAGAATATACAGTACACATAAAGAAACTAATCAAGAGGAAGGACTCTTGTTAAAATGCTCAATTCCTATCCAGAAAGGCAAACAGGATGGACATCAGAAGAAGGAGAAAAGAGTGAACAAGTCAGGAGCCTGACACAAAGGGCCTCTAAAAGGCTCTGCCCTGCAGACTAATTAATGCAGATACTGAGACTTAAGGGCAACCCTTGGGCAGAGTGCAGGGAATCTTAGGAAAGAAGTGGGAAATAGTAAGATCTGGAGAGGACAGGAACTCCACAAGGAGAGCAACAGAACTAAAAAAATCTGAGCACAGGGGTCTTTCCTGAGACTGATACTCCAACCAAGAACTATGCATGAAGATAACCTAAGACCCCTGCACAGATGTAGCCCATGGCAGTACAGTATCCAAGTGGGTTCCATTGCAATAGAAACAGGGACTGTCTCTGACATGAACTGATTGGCCTGCTCTTTAATTACGTCCCCCTGAGGGGGAAGCAGCATTAACAGGCCACAGAAGAAGACAATGCAGCCACTCCTGATGAGACCTAATTGACTAGGATCAGAAGGAAGGAAAAGAAGACCTCCCATATCAGTGGACTTGGGGAGGGGCGTGCATGCAGAGGATGGAGGAAGGGAGGGACTGGGATGGGAGGAGAGAGGGAACCACAAGGGGGATACAAACTGAATAAAGTGTAATTAATAAAGAAAAGGAAAAAAGAAAAAAATATATACAGTTTATTCAGCTTAAAACAAACTACTACCTGGAATAATCTGGCTACTGGTATATTAAAGTAAAAGAGCAAATTGATTTCCATTCAATTAAGAGGCGTTCAAAGGAGACTACCAATAATCCATAGGACACAGAAAGATGGAACCAGTTCAAAAAGGCAATAGGTTATCAAGAAGTATAGAGAAAACAGATGTATCATTCTAGGAGAATGGAAATCCAGTACTGATGAGATGTATGATATAGTATGGCTCCATAAGACAATCTATAGTGCAGGCAATGAATAATTACTAGAATTACAATAAGTAGATTGTCATGGATGCATAAATGTATCTCAACATTACTTTTCCTATAAGTCACTATCAAATATTATTCAAAGGATCACGTTGGAAATCAACATACCAAAGACATTTATCTGATAAAATATTTATAATAAGGTAAGTTTTCAGAATACTTTAAGAAACCATTTTCTTACTAGCTAGTATGCTCTTATGGTTTGTTTACTTTATGCAGCCTGTGTGTAGAAACACTGCTATTGCTAAAAGGAAAACAAGGGAGCTTTTAGGTAGAGAAATGTGACCAGATATTTGAATGTAATATTCTGTGGACTAAGGGGAAAAGTTTGGAAACAGAAATGCATTTGAAAAGGTAGTTGAGGGTCCAAGTAGGAGTCGACAAGCGAGCATAATATCCGAGGGGCACAGGATCTAAAATTCTGAAATTGTTGAATGGAGAGGCGGCTGAAGCCAGAACATAGACATTGAGTTTTCCTGGGCTAGAGGGGACAACCCATGAGCTGGGAGAGTTTGTATCTAGGTCACCTGTGGAAGTCTCCAGGGTCTGAGACTGGCAAACATTCTAATCCCATACAGTTTCCCTTGCCCAGAACACAAGCTTCCCTGCTCTGCTGAGGCTGCAGAGGTTGCACCAAGCATGATCCTCCCTGCTCTGTGACTGAGATGGCAGAGCAGACTGAAGTAT